CAAGGAGAAGATCCCCTCCTTTTTCGCTGCTTTTGAGTCTCTTGAAATGGCGCAAATCGGAAGGCTAGATTTCGGAGTGCCCACTTATCCGACCCGATTGTTGTATCCGGCCTTTTTTTTCTTTTATTTTTTTTTTTTGGTTTCCGATCTGGTATCCGGCTTCATCCCGACTACTCCGGACTCGACCAGCTGTGGCGCATCAGAATGGTGGGTGGGTTTTCTAACGAAGGCTGCTACGTACACAAGATTTCAAACTCGAAACCTTACTTAAATTGGAACAAGCCGCTTGCCACTTGATCCAACCATCCGTTGTTCTTTTATATATATTACATAGGAATAAATTCCATCAGACGTCACACTACTTTTGGGTGACTTGCAACTTATGAACCCCAACTTTTATTATTATTATTATATTATTTTTTTTTGGTAATAATGAACCCAACCTTAACTGCATATTTAGGTTGAATAGAATAGGAGAGAGCGGATAAAAATTACATCATTTGATTTTCCTCCCCTTTTCTCCCTTTTCCTTTTCCTTTTTTTTGCTTAAATAAATAAATTTAAAATGAAATAAATTCTTCTTATCCCTCTTATTCTTTTAATAATTAAGTAAATTTTTTTCATCCCTTTTCCTCAATTTTAATATATTATAAAAGTCATATCTAATTGGTTAATTAACTATATTATATTATCAATTTTTTCCCTATTTGGCCTAACCATTCTTTAATGTAAACATAACATTTGGGTTCAATGTTTCATTTTCAAACCTTAACGTTTGGATTTAGTTAATCAAAAATCTTTTCCATTGAAAACAGAACAAGAATGAAGAAACAAAAAACAGATAGATGGATAGATAAAGAAATCTCCAATATCCGAGCTGGCAAGTGTCAAGAGATCATCTGAGTCCCACAGAGGCAAAGATACTCCCTCTCACACCAATGGAGTTTGTGGATGCCCGTCATGCCACGTGTAATGCCGCCGTGACCACATATTCCACATGTCATCTCGTGGCAGGTCAGTCAAGATCGCGCGGAACATCAGCCTCTTATCGCCCTGTCTCTTATACCCATCTCAAAATTTTGTAGTATATGTTTTGTAGATGGGTTTGCAATTAAGACTTATCTTTAAATAATTTAAAAATTAAAACCAATTAAATCTCTAAAAAATACTCTATCATTGGCGGCCAAATTAAAAATGGGTCATTAGCGACCTCCTTTTTCAATTTTACACCATCTTTTTCCTTTTTTTTTTTTAATAAAAAAATCATAAAATTCTATCTACTGACAAAACTATCCATACTAAATTTTTATGCAATATGTAATATATTACTTTATAGATTTTAAAAAGTGTAATTTAAACCTTAAAAAACGCAATAAAAAATAAAGAGATTCTCTAAAACTATAATTACAGATGGAATTCTTAGTGATTTAATACTTACAAAACACAATGTTACTGTAATATAATACCATCTCATCTCT